CTTTTGCATTTTTTGTATATTTATCAGCAATGACAAGTAAACAGTTGTAAATACGATTTTTTTAATTTATTTTTTCATCTAATGAAATATCGTAAACCTTCACTATAATGTTGGCAATGTGAATTTACAGTATAATCATCCGAACGAATTAAAGTAGATGTATGTTAGTGATAACGTGAAACTCGACTAGAACTCAAATAAGGTTGAGAATGTTTCTTAAATCTTGCACGTATACAAGCTACTGCAATGTGTATGAATATATCAGATGTATGTCAATAAGGGTGGTGTAAAAAGAGTGAAAGACATTTGCTTTTTTCTAATCAGAAAATGTGTCACAGCCGATTTTGACTAACAAGTATGTTTTTTTCTGAGGTGTTTTATTGTATAATATGACCGCTGTTGTCCGGAAAAAAGAGTTTCATTTTCAAGTAGTGTAAACATCTTAAAAAGTACTTCAGAATCGATAGATATTCAATGACTGAGAAAAGAGAGATTTCTCTACATTTCTATGATTCTCAAAATAAAAACAGAACAAAATATCCACGATTTTTTCGATCTTACATTCATATGAACGAAGAAATGTGTACAGATGAATGTGTGGTTGTGAGAACTGTTGCAACAAATACATCACATTAACTATTATGAATGGTGGTATTGTAGGAAAACTGACGGTCGATTCGTGATTCTCTCTTTAATTCATGAGAAAACGAGTCTTCATAAAGTTTCACAAAAGTCGCAGCTATTGGATCTGTAAATACTTAGAAAACTTAATTTCAATATTCCAAGAAATGATTTATCAATAAAGGTTTCTCCAAACCAACAATCTTCATTCGAATTTTATGATATAATATTATTTTAATGATGTATCTTGTCTCCGACTCATAAGGATTCAAACGAAAATTCTTAGTTAATGCTTAGAAAGTTCTAGCTATAGGATAGTCCTTGAAAAGTGACTGTAGTTAGTCGCACTATAAAGTAAGTTCTTTTCCTTGCGGATAATAAGAAAAGCTTACTAATCAAACTCGACTATCATATTACAGTAAGAATTGTCATGATTCAATACTAATTTCATAAACTTAACAGTTTTCGTTTTGGCGAAACTCTAACACATAGTGATTTAATGTAAACATATATTCTCTATGATCCTGTGAATAAAGTTCGATATTTGATATTTGTTTGAGTGATCAAATATTTGTGATGTCTGATGTGTGATTTTTCTTTATTGTAACAAAAATATGTAGTCTATAGTTACTATCATTCTCCGAATACGTCTTCAACTTGTGTTCTTTTGAGAAATACTGAAGAGAAACAAAACGATTTTATTCTTGGTTACACTCAGCTTCTTACCAATCTGTAGTATGAATCGCCATGAATATATAAGCTTCTCTCAAAACAAGTATTCCTATTTTCGGCAACCTATGTAATAGTGGAATAACTGACACGAAAATGCAATAATTTTTTATTGAGACGTAAGAAATTCAATGAAGATATCAATGCGCTTTTCTTGTTTATTACAAAAGTGTGAAACATTGTGATGACAGCAGGTTCAACTAAGAGTTCCACAAGCATCATCTGCTTTCAAACTATTTCGTTTCAGATACGGGTACTAATTAATAATCCTATGATATTTATGAATTGCTTTAGCTTATTTACTCAGTTGGAAGTATTCGATGAGAAACTAATGGAAAATTTCATCGGCAATCCTAAACGAAAAGTTTATATAGAATCGAATTTCTTCGCAAAAGATGTGTTCTGACAAGTCACTGTTTTGATGAATTTCCCTGTATATTCGTTTTCCATACTTTCAAGAAAGAAATAAAAATTGTGATCAATGTGGAGAGTAAAAGTAGTTCTCTTGCAGATACTTTGTGCATAGTAATCTAATGCATAGTTTTCACTTTTATTTCATGCAGCATTATAATAGATTTAAAAAAACTGAAAGGAGTACTTATATTTTTGAATATATTGTAATTTTCATTGGTGATCGATATAGCAGTTCATGACTTTTTTTTCTCTAGATATGTAATCAATGCCAAAGAAGCTGTGTTGAAAGCTGAAAAGTTTAGATATTTTTATTTTGACAAGAGAGGTATTTCATGATATTTAGTATTGAATGAAGGCTTCTGAACAAAAGATATCGACCATTAATTGTCTTTAATGAGGCTACACTATGAATTCGTCGTTATCTCACACATTTTAGGCCAAAGATAAGTGACTAGGCTTTCATCTTCAATCTGTTGTGTTTTTGATACAGATATTTTCTTCATCAAGGATGAATGAACAGAGATTTTCAACAAAAATTGAAACAAATTGGTTCAGTGCACTTAGTCGATATCATACTAAATATGTTCATTTTAAAAGACTCCGCAATCCACAATCACTTATTTATTTAATTTTGTTCTTTTGTCATAATAAATAAATTATTCTTACAATTTTTCGAAATAATAATAAGATATTACATCATATTGAAACGTAGACAAAACAGAGTTTCAATTGTGACTGTGTTATATATTATTTTTATACTCTATAACCATGTTCGGATTATAAAATTGTTCGATTTAGTTTTCTATTCTAATTGACTATGAGAAAGATTGACTTGAGCGATGATGAGTCGATAGTTGTGACTAATAATGAAATAACTCGATGTGAGATTTATTTATTCAAGAATAAAGTGAACAATAAGCAGCATGTAAGAGAGAAACTGAAAACAAAAGAGACGATGAGAGAATGATAGATATATAGCATACCCGAAGATCAATAGTCAGTCACACATTATAAAGCCAACATTGCTACAATAAGTCAAACTGTCTTTTTTTGTTAAAGTGCAGGCGTTTTCGTTGTTGTAGCCATATCCTACGTTGGAGTCGTTGGTCCGGTCGTAGTTGTTGGTCCGGTCGTAGTCGTTGGTCCGGTCGTAGTCGTTGGTCCGGTCGTAGTCGTTGGTTCGGTCGTAGTCGTTGGTCCGGTCGTAGTCGTTGGTCCGGTCGTAGTCGTTGGTCCGGTCGTAGTCGTTGGTCCGGTCGTAGTCGTTGGTCCGGTCGTAGTCGTTGGTCCGGTCGTAGTCGTTGGTCCGGTCGTTGTCGTTATTGAAACTGTAGTGGTATTTCCAGTCATAGGCAAAGTGGTCGTTGTTGTGGTTGGATGGAGATCCTGTATTAGGCCGCGCAGTTCATCTATCTGTCCATTAAGATTATTGAACCGATTGTTGACAGCGGCAAGAGTCGCAGCTGCAAGAGCAAAAGTAATGATTCCAAACAGACCAACTATACCCAATCCAATCAAGACACGCATTGCGCTCCCTTGTCCTAAAGCCATTATTGATTCTTTTTTTTACAGAAAATTTCTAGCTTTTATTGAATAAACTTTGTGGTTTCTAACAATGTCTTTTACTCAGCATATCAACAAAGCGTATACGTTTATATATATATATGAATCGAAAGTGAATGTCAGGATTGAGTAGGTGTAGTTGTAAAGATAACAACAATTTTATTGAGGTTGGTTTTCGTCACACAAGTGAATATAGTTACAAGGATAAAATAACAACTTTTCTGTCATCTTGGTTACCCATTATTGAATTACAATTTCATTCTTCATTGAAGATATCGATAGGGAGCTCTTATTTTTGTGTTTCATATATAACGGTAAATAAGTCGTGAGAGAGATTTATAGTGAAGCATCTGAAAACGAAAAAATATTATGTTGTTGTTGTTGTTGTCTGCAAAATTCGTATCGAACTCTGAATATTCCAATGTATTCCTACTTATCAGGTGTTGTTTTAGTTTGAAAAACGTGAAAGTACTATATTAACTTTAAAAAAGTTTATGAAATGTTTTTAAAGCTAATCTTAGGATAGGGTTTAGGCTGTGTGGTTGTAAGTGTGGATCAGGAGGAAGAATCAACATCCACATCTACAGCCCATGCTTACATTCTACTTAACCCTTATAAGCCGAGAAAGCATTATTTTGACAACGGGAGGAAGTTGATCACAAAAATAAAAGTTAAGGACCTTCAGTGTGCTCATAATATAACTAAAAAGAATTATTTTATTTTTCCTCTAGAGTTATCGAATATCTCTTGATTGGAATAGTCGATCTTATGAAAGGATCAAAAAAAGGAAATTTGATTTGAAATTTTAACCATAAGTAGGGTGCACAATCCTTAGTATACTCTAAAATTTTTGAACCAAAACAGATGTTTTCTTACTGAGATATTGAATTAGAAAAGACGATGACATTTCACGAAGTCAACTTTTTTCAGCGTGTCGTATCTCGAGAAGGAAGCATCTGTTCTGACTGACAATTTTAGAATATTTCAAATGTCATGAAGTCTAATTACGGGCAAAGTCTCAGATCGAAAACTTTTCTTTGGGTTCTTTTACACCTTATCCAAAGCACACATTTTTTTAGATGTTATATCATGACAATAGACCGCGTCAAAATTTTCAAGACTGATTTCATAAGCTACTTAGATGTAATGCTCATCAATATCAATCATAAAACCAAAACTGCACGTTGCGTTTATACACAAATGAAATCATCAAAACAAAAATTAACACGTACAAAAATATTTTTAATTTTAAATAATCAATTATCTGATTTAGAAACCAGTTAGAAGTATTTTGTTTCTCAGTATATAGTCCTATCCTAATATCTTAGTCTGAAAAACTATTCTTTGTTGAATGTAAAATTTTTCACTTCTTCAATATCAATTATCATAATATTCCTTGGAAGGGGCATTCGTTTTATAAGAGTTAAATGTCGTTACGGTGATGTCTTTCAGGAAAATGTCTTTGCGCAGAAGTGCCGAGAGCAGATTTGTTGATGAACCTATTATTTACCTCTTTGATACATAATACATTTGACAAGAACATGCAAACATAGCAATAAATAATACTTGACAGTCGACTCAAATGATAAAAGAAGAAATGTATTGACTACGATAAAACGAAGAACACTGCAAAATAAAAAGTTTATTGCGTATAAAAATTGTTTTCAACAAAATGAAAATTTATACTTACATTATTTTGACAAATATTTTTGTTTTCAAACAGTGATATATATAATTTAATGTTTATTTGAAAAACAATATATTTAAATTGAATTTAAAGTCAATGATCATAATTTTCCAATCACTACTGACGATGCAAGCAAAATGAACATTCGCTTTCAAGCAAAGAAATCTAAACACAATATGATTCCTTTTTCTAGCCAAGTTCGCTTTTAAATTTTAGTTCGTTTATGAGGAATAACCAATAAATACTTAATAATATTATTCTCTTTTTTTACTTATGCTTTGTATTCAATTAAACGTCGTAAGTCGTCGTCACAATGTTGACGAGCAGTGTAAAAAACAAAAGTATAGAATAAAAAGCTTTGCATCAAATTTTCAAAAATCTTTTTAGAGCTTATTATACATTCGATTTTGATAAATCATTGGCTTATTATATACATATTAAACCTTTCAAGCTTTTATGAAAATAAATAGTACACAACTGAAGAGTTTATTATCTTTATAACTGAGAAATAGTTTATGACAATGTCATGTATTCTAAAAGGATTTATCAAAACTTGATGCACGTTTTACGTGGCTAATAAACTATTTTGAATGATTTATTATTTTACCTTTTGTTTTATATTGATGTGCAGTTATAACATAGTCATCTGAATTATCACAAGTATTTCTAGATGGAACGTGTCAATATTCTGATTCATTTCATATGCATATTATTCGATAACGAGATTGTGAAGCACAGTTCGATTTTCAACAATATGTACACAAGAATTGTACTGGCAAATATTGGCAATCTATTGATTTAATTGATAAACGACGATTATATAATAAACTTAAAGAGTCATCATTATGATAACATAACAATCGATCAAAACTCAAATCAAGTTCAGTCCCATTTTTCTTTTGGGTACTTAAATAAATTGTATGCCAGCTGTTATTAGAACATATACTACTGTGAGTTGTACTTGTCTGTAGCGAATGGAAAAAAATATAAAAGAAGATCATGAAAACATAAATATTCATTAATGATTAGATATCACCACTTAACTAATGTACTAGGTAATTTCATGGCAAAGAAATATACATTTGTTTCTTTTTTAGATATGATGGAGTATTGGCACAATAAAAAGTGATATATTTGATTTAAGAGCAACCAATTGTTTCCAATACTGAAATTATGAAAGCTGGTAAGTGTTTAATTGCTTTCATGAAATGAATTTTGATAATTTTTTCTTTTGAAAAATATTTAAAAATGGATCGCAAATTAAAAATAAGTTGTTAGACAATGATCATTGAAATCGCTTATGAATAGCGTTTTTCACGGCAGGTATTTCAAGCAAAAGCTAAATCTGAAGCAGGAATAAAAAATTTGAGGTATTTTTCAATTTTTTCTCTGAGAAGCAACTTGATAATGACATCCAAATAGTGATTTCGATAATTTTCAGAATCAACTACAAGATTAATGATGTGCTTAAGTTTCAGAAGGATAGCTTTACTATTGTTTTATGCATGAACTCTTATTTTCTCTAGAGATCAAAATTCAAAGGCATATTTTCATATATTCGCTTTATTTTGAAAAAAAATCTCGAAAATACAACTCAGCTCATAAAAACCTCCACTCTTTGCTTTTAAACAGTTTCTGATTCGACCGATTTGATGTTCAAATCTTGATCGATATTGTCCGATTTCTCCTGAGGACGTGATCCTTCACGACCGCCGGTACATAATTCGGTCTCGAGACTAGATTTTCATCTAAAATAAACCATAACATTTTGATAGGATTTAAGTTTGGATGATTTGGAGTCCAGTCGAGTGCATCCAGTCTCAATTTAGTAATTTTATCTTCAATATTATTCAAAGTATGCCATGGTGCCAAGTCCCGTTGGGAAATCATTTTTGTTTAAGGTAGGAATCTTTTCATGGATCGCGTCAGTTCATGTTGTAATGCGTCACAATATAAATGATTGTTCATATGTTTTCATTCGCATCTTCACTGCTGTTATATTAAAACCCGAGATCCCATCCCAGATTGCAATCTTGCTACCGTAACTGGTATCGGCTTACTCCAAAAACTCTAGAAGAAACTTTTCCTTTTTTAAGTGACAAAAATCACGGATAGAAATCTTTTCAGGACGTCCTCAACGCTTGAGACCATCGTATCGATGAAGCTCTTTGAATTTCTTCAAAGCCTTTTATACACAACCTAGTGGGATCTTAAGTTACTTTAAAATTTCGAACTCATTGAGATCAGTGTCTGAAAGGCAACCACTCGGACTTGTAGAAACAGACCACCAGACTTTTTGACCAGACACAGTTCGAATAATACTTGGATAAGCATGATATATTTAAAAAACTGAAAAAGAAAACGTCGGCTTTTGTATTTTTTTTTCCAGCATATAACAAATATATGAAAAGTTGCCTTAAACCTTCGATCGCTGGAGACAAAATAGTTGACGAATAAAAAATTGAAAAAGTTATCCTCAGAAATTTCAGCAAATTAGTCTTGCAGTATATTCCTAGAGCTATCGAAATCCTTTTTTTTTGGATGCCACTATCGAATAGGCTTTAATAGAGAGAATTGAAAGCCAAAAGGTATCTTTAACTTTTGATTTTCACTTTACAACGCATTTGCTGTTTCTGACATATATAGTCTCCGATGTCAAACAGTCCCAGTATAAGATCTTCTGAGATTCTTACAAGGTCATATAAGAACTTAATGTATGCTCTGTCATAATCATATAAACTTGTATGAAAATCGTAAATGAGATGGTACGACATTGTGTGCCAATCTTAAAGCTATATCCAGATCAAAAAGCACGACGTAAGAATCTTGCAGATCAGACGAAAACTCTTTGGAAGTCGTATGAGAAATCATTGTCTCTGAAACTTACTCTACATCGTATAATAAGCTCATTGAAAGATCTTACCAACATACAAGTTTTTCTATAATCTTAGAATGATATCTTACAATGCAGCAAGATCTTTTAAGAATCATATTAAAGAACTTAGCGTAAGATTTCAGAGACGATGATTTTTCGTACAATTACAATTTGATATTGTAAAATCAGGCAACATCAGATGTACGATTTCTTGGAAGAATTGTATGCTAAGGACTTGAGGTAAGTTTTGCAGATAACACGATTTTTTGTAGGATTTTCGTCTGATCTTACAAGATTCCGATCATTTGACTTTGCAAGTATCTTACAGTAAGAATCAAGTAAATACAGTATGAATTTATCGAGATCCGATCGTCAGTTAGGTCTTACACAGTCTGCGTAGGACTTATTTTTCACGCAAGCTAACTTATTTTTTTATTGTACTTTTTTCTAATTTTGTTCTCTAACAGAGATCTCAATGGGCTGGGCCAAGCCCGGCCCAGCTCGGCCCATTCGGCCCATGGGCCGAAATTGTAATGGGTACCCATGGGCCGAAATTTCAATAGGCACCCATGGGCCGAAAATAAAACAAAACGAAAATTATCAAAACTTCTTTCTCAAAGTAAAACTGAAATTTCCTTTGCGACTGATCATCGGATAAAAGCATAATCGTAACTGAAAATCAGACATGTAAAAGTTCGTCATTAATTATCCATGTGATTCATTATATGTAATTAGCTGCTTTTACAGCTCTCCTACATATGAGTTAACAGAGTGGCGCCTAACTTTTGTTACTGTCTTCATTTTAGTTATATCACAGCTAAGTTATTTTAGTTTGTTGTTTATTGCACGCTGTATGTAACGAGCAGAACATTTTTTGGAAGATTGGAAAAACTGGTATCAGTACCAGTTTGATACTTTCACCTGACGTTTCAATGAAAAATTTCAGATTTTCAGTTTTTGAGTTGAATTTGACAGAAAATGACGACTTGACATATGTACACCTAGCTAGAATTAATTAAAGAAAAAAACCTCGTGACGCCATACGATAAAGTGCTTAGCATCTTAATTACTTCAGTTAGCATGACAAGTCAACATGTCTGTCTGAAAAGTATCAATCAGATGAATGGCTCATGGGCACCCATGGGCGGGCCGGTTTTTTTAGAAAAAAACATGGGCTAGGCTGGGCCGAGGTTGATAGCCCATGGGCTGGTTTTTATTGGCCCAACCCGGCCCATTGAGACCTCTGGTAGACATATTCTTTTGTTTATAGTCATCCAAAAATCGGCAAAAATATACAAAATCAATTATATAAGCATTATATAAGGTCCTGAATCCATCGTTAGCATATTGAAGTAAGATTTCGAGATGATTATTGATATATAAATATATTTTTGTATAGATTTCAGAACGAGAAGGACGCCAACGAAGTGAGAATAATCATCAATATGTCAGATGAAAAAAAAAAGATTTGTTCGCCGAATCAAGATCATTTACATCTGCATAAAGACAATGTCTTTATTTATGCTTGTCTTCTTTTTTTTTGTGATGGCGAACATACCTATAACAAGAACAAAAATGTCATATATAATATGACAATAATCATTACATAAAAACAACTAAATAAAGTTCTTTAACAGTTTTTCATTTTCAAATCTAATGGATTATTGAAAATAGAAGAACGAACAAAAAAAAATGTTCATTATCTTTGATAACATAGAATAATTGCAAAACATATGGATAGAATCTAGCAAATATTCGGGTAGTATTTGAATATATTAATTTCTAAAATTTATGCAAAAAAAATGAATTTTTGATTTAATTAAAAATAAGAAAAGCTTGAGAATAATTTGTATAAAAATAAACATTTTTATAAATTCTTTTAGAAACAAAAACCATCTTCTAAAGAAAAATATTGATAAAAAAATTAATCAAGACAAAAAAAAGAATATCAAACAGATAACGTCAAAAAAAATAAAAAAAAATTGAAATACATGCAATAGTATCAATTGTATTGAGAAAGAGATCGTATACACAATATTACTAAATCAACGAACAAAAAAAATTAATTAATTATACTTGATCGTCGAAAAGAAGATTGAGTGAATTGATAATCTAGAAAAGATCAATTATAAAAATTCTTAAATATATATAGTTGTATGTTTAATTTACTTTTTTTTTTCATTATTCAATTAATATTATTATTTCGATCAAATCTTTCTAATGCATTCATAATATAATGATAAATTTATTTCGTATATTTATATCCAACTCATTTAAAACAACAAGAATACTATTGTTATTGATAATCTTCAATAAACAAAACATTAAGAAATACAACAAATCAACTGAACTTATCGAAACAATCGTCGGTAACATAACTTAGAATTGTTCTCAATCGTCGATGAAACATTGTATCATCAATTTTACGTATTTTAGCTAAAGAATAATTGACATATGAAATATCTAAACATTTTTTTTTTACATAACAAACTAATTTCATGAAGTTGTTATTCGGATAATCGTTTTCTTTTTGGTCGACGACATTGATTTTCAATTTGAGTTAAAATCTAAAACAAAAATCGTAAAGAAAATAAAAATAATTAAAACTAATCGAATTATTTACTTCTTCATCAGTAATATCAGGTTTTTCATCATTATTTAATTCTTCTTAGCTGGTGATGACGACGATTCAATTTGAAAATTTGTTTGTATACATTGATCAACATTTTTTAATAATATTTTACTTATTGTTATTATTATTGGATGTATTGATTGCATTGATTTCGATTTGAAAAGAAATAATTCTTGTTTAAAACGTGCATTTTCTTCACGTAATTCATTAGTTTCATGTCAAAAATGTGGACTTTTTATTCGTCATACATTAATTATAGTCGAAGCAAGATTAACATAACTTAATGTATCGATTGTTTCATCAATAACCGTAGATAATGGATTAATTGTTGGTAACATAAATGTTTTTGCATCATCACCAAGATTATTTTTTAAGAAATAAATTAAATTTGAATGAACATATGGAAGATGATGTTGTTGACAAGATAATGCACCAATTACATTGCAAAGTGTAGATAATAATTGATTGATATGAACACTTTCGTAAATGTAAATAACAATATTTTGTTATTTATTGAAATATGATGAGGACATTTTTATTCAGTGCTCAATAGGATGAAGAGGATACGATACTAACGAAAGGAATCGCCCGAGGTGTCCAACACGAATTTCCTTCATTCACACATCGTTTGATAGAGAACATCGAGATAGTAAAAAGTTTAGAAGCATTTGTGCTGATGGCCTATTAGCGAAGAGTTATGATCGTTTTACTGGAATTTTTATTGAGAGCTATGTATTTCCGAACAAAATCAAAGTGAAGAGTTTTGACCTGAAACTTTGTCTATAGATAGATTTAGTAGTCATTAGACAACTCAGGACGTTTCAACGAAAACAGACCTGCCTTTCTCGAGATATTCAATTTTCAAAAAAACCAGCCGTTCAACATAGAAAAACACAATAATCCATTCTACTTGAAGATTAAATATCTCGAGAAAGACAGGTTTGTTTTCGTTGAAACTTCCCAAACTATCTAATGAATAGTAAATCTGTCTATAGGCAAAGCTTCAGATCAAACTCTTAACTTTGATTTTTTTCGGAAATACATAGCTCTCAATAAAAATTCCAGTAAAACGATCATAACTCTTCGCTAATAGGCCATCAGCCCAAATGCTTCTAAACTTTTTACTATTCGATGTCCTCTATCAAACGATGTGTGAATGAAGGGAATTCGCGTTGGACACCTCGGGCGGTTCCCTCGTAAGTATAGTCTTCATTTTCTATCTTCATAAAAGCTTTATGTATTGTAACTTTTTTTTTTTTATTAGAGACTGATATTTCATCTTTGTGAGAATTTATATGATTCTTACCGCAAATCGATCATTTTTTTCTTGAAAACCAATACTGTTGTGATTCTTCACTTCCAGCTAAATTTACAGAATTCAATCATACAGTTTGTTCATCTAATTCATCTTGTGCTTGTTGTTTTGCACTTTTTGATGAACTAGATAATGTTGCACTTTTATCAATATTTGATAAAGAATTAGCTGTATTTAATCCAAATGATAAACGCATTCTTGTTGATTGTGGTATATCAATATAACTTACCTTAACAGTAAATATAGAATGGAATCTTGATGATCGTTGATTAGCATTTGTTAATGAAACTGAATGTTGTTGATTATCCAAATTTAAAAGATTTTGAAAATCTTCTTTACTTTTAATTTGAATATATTTTAAATATATGAGCAAAGTAATGAATGCTTAGGAATTTCAAGTATATATATTTGTAACGATAAATGAAAGGAAGAGATGATGATGACAGACTGGAGGAGTAGCTTACCGCCACCCTCGGTAATGATGTTTATTAGCTACTTTACATCTCCAGAATGTGTCTATTACACATTCAGCACACGCTTATATATGACAGAGAAAAAGAGAGAGAGAGAGAGAGAGAGAGAGAGAAAGAGACGACACAGAAACAACAATAGAGAGAGGAAGAGGAAAGAAGAAGAGCGGCGAGCCGTGACGCATATATCGGCACAATATTGAAGAATTATTTGTTGAATTTGAACTATAGATCAAATACGTATTTAGGGGGAGAGGTGGAAAGGGAAGTTGGGAAGATCGATCCCCTCCCTCCCAACAAAAGATATAAATACCTGGAGAGGAGTACGGGTTGAACATTTTTCGAAAGTCAAAATAACCCATTTTCAATGGTAGTCCTCTTCCAAAACCGTCAATTTCCCCCTTGAAAAAATTCCTAGATATATCACTGCTATAGATACAAGTTTATTTAAAATATATGTACGTGCATGTTTAAAAAATGATAATGTTATTGAAGATTTATTTGGTGATTTTTTTATTTAAATTTTCATTTAATGATGTGTTATGACCTGCATCTTCTCCAGATGCGGTCATAAGAGTTTTTTCTCTCTAGCTATAGGGTTATACATATGCGTTCATGTTCTTCTTCTCTTCTCTTGTTGTCATGGATTTTTTCTTTTCTGTCATATATATGTGATGGACTTTTCTTTCTTTCTGCTCTTCTTTCTTTCATGTTGCTGTATGGATTTTCCTTTCGTTGTTCATCATCTATGGGATTTTCCATCTTATGGATTTTTCTGCACTTGTCATCTTTCTATATATAGCGTTACATTTCTTGTATGGAGCACATATTGATACATAGTGATTTTCATATACATTCAGTGGGATTGAGATCTCACATGTATAAATAGTTATCTGTGAATACCTTTTTCTGTGATTAATTTGAGAGTTAAAACTGATCGAATTATAATTCTTCAAATTTTCGATCAAAAATTTAATTAAGTTCTAACCATCAACTGAATCATTGTTCTTTTAAAAAAGTAATTTATTAATTGATATCTTCTGTAAAAAAGATTTAATTTAAATTGCGCTTTATGTGATTAAAAATCATCTGTATCTTTTTAAATGGTTTACCCCCGATTCGGTCCGAATCGGTCCCTTTCTGTTTTCGTCCAAATAAATGATCTCTCACTTCGGTCCTTTCTCAATTCGGTCCTATTCGATGATATCTCACTTGGGTCCCTTCTCTGCTCGGTCCTTTTTAATTGATTCTCATTTCGGTCCTAAAATATAATCAGTTCTGGTGATTCATATTTTTATTTAACATACACAAAAATACCTTATACAAGAAAAAACAGCAAGAGAAAAATATCCATGATTGCATCACATATGAAAATGTTATAAACATTCAAAAAATTAAATTATTTTCACTTGTATTTTTTTACTAATTTAGTTTTGACTGATTTACCACAATGAAGTGCTAATTCTAAATCTGTCAATTCACCATTACTATGTTTATCGAGTAGATCGATAATTTTAATATTAATATCTTCACTTGATTTTGGTCGTTTTGGTAAATAAGATTTCGATTGTTCGGCATGATGATGGTGAAACAAGTGTTCATGTAATAGTTCGATAAATCTGAAAATATGAGGATGAACAGGAAATAATGAGCCTAGTCGATTATTATAAGCTTCCACGTGGTTATTTGTTCTTGGAATATTGTTGACAAGAGCATCGTTAACATTCCATAAATTAAGTGGAAAACGTGATGAGGTACAATCGACGTAGGTAGAAACCATATAATCGTTAAATTTAATACTTGAAACATGATTAGGTGTGTATTCATCCATGGCTTCGGTCCATGTTTTTTCTACTAAATTTCTTGGAATTAAAGCTAGACCTATGGCACATAAAAACCATGTACTAGCCTTTTTTTTTTCTTCAGCAATGCTTGTGTTTGAAACTTTTAAATTTGAATATTTAACGAAACGAGTGAGGCCCAATTCTTGGATCTTTCGCCAGAGCGATTGCGAAAAGTGGAAAAAGAATCCAGAAACATGTATTGTAGGAAAAACTTTTTTAAATGAGTTAATTGCTGATAGTTCATAATCACATGTTAAACGTTTTGGATCAAGTATAATTTCTTTTTGTCGAGCAATATTTAATAAATGGTGTAATATTTTCACGTAAACATGTTCGTCTTGTTTGGTTGTCAAGCAATACACACATGGTATCATCATATTATTAAAACCAAATATAATATAAAGTTGTGCAAATAACAAAGGACGACATTTGTATGTACCATCCGAATGCCATTGACTACAAGAACTTAAGAACTTTAAGCTCCAATCTGAAGCAAATAGAAGAAGCCGATCTTCACCATCTATAATACAAGTAAAATATTTTAAATTAAAAAAAAAGATTCCATACAAATCTCGTCGACCAAAAGAAAAGGTTCACCATGAGAACCGAGTTTCCAAGCATCTGGAATCATAAGATCATGAATATTTTTTGGTACATTTGGATAGTTTTTAGCACCTTGACGATATAAAGTTGAATCAATACTATCCAATAATGGAAAAATTGAGCCAGTGTCCAGGTCAGGTTTACCAATACGGTTTTTTACGACTTCTTGTGAATATATTTGAGGAATTGGTAAAGTTTCTACAGCTGCTCGTTGTCTCATACGAGATACAGCTTTTTCAACAATAATCTTTTGTGGTGATGAAGGACTACAAGTATGTTGATCAGGTTCTCTAATAATTGATTTGTTATCCCGACATAATGATATTGAAGTTGTACACGGTCTTCGTCTACACCGCCATTCGTTAGTATTTTTATATTTACGTTTAAATGTATATTGATAACCTTGATAGTGAAGTACAAGTGCATTTCGATTAGTTGTTGTAAATTCGATAGACTTATCGTTCATCTTTCGAATTCGATATTTCTTAAACAATGATCACTGAGGCGTTAGCTAGTTTAGAATAAATTATTCTCTGGATTTTTCTTGACCAATGATCAGTCGTGAAAAATTTAGTAAATAGTTGTTCAAGGAGATGCGTGACTATTTATAATATTCTTTGTCATTGAATGAAAAATGACCAAACAGAAAATGGACCGAAATGAGAATCAATTAAAAAGAACCGAAACGAGAAGGGACCCAAGTAAGACATCATCAAATGGGACCGATTTGAGAGAGGACCGAAGTGAGAGGTCATCGAATGGGACCGAAACGAAAAGGGACCGATTCGGACCGAATCGGGGATATCCCTTTTTAAATACATGTGTTGTTTATTCATCGAAACATTTATTACCATACATACATGTATTTTTAATAGACGCAACAAATATACATCGATGAATAACTTCATGAAGAACACATTGTTTTATCTCTGATGCCATATTTCATAACAACAAGATTACTGACAATTGTTTCTTCTTGTGTTGTTTTCGATCATATCAGCTCGTCTGATGATAACAAAATACTTGCTGAACAAGACGACGACATAATCGATGGAAACTCATTGAGTAAAACAACTCTAAGAAAACAAAAAGAATCATAAATTTCTTCAATTCATTTAAACAAATGAAAACAAGAAAAAAAATTGCTTAAAAACAAATCAGTATCATAAACGATACTCAATTCAACCAATAGTTTTCTTTTCTGATGAAGAACAATTACGAAAAAAAAAGAAAACAAAAAGAATAGTTCACTCGTTTTTTCTCCAAGAGCTACAGTTGAACCAATGAAAAATAACGGTCAAACGATGTGTTATTTCTCTCAATCGGTCATCGCACATTCATATTACATGTAAAGAAGAGAAAGTAGAAGCCATAGCATTTATTCTTTTTTTTTTAATAACACTCAATGGCAATCATCGAGGTAATTTTTCTATTCATCAAATAAGTCATTTTTTTCATCGCATTACCGTAGGCAGTGTGAGAGTTGAAACTTTTTTAAAGTTGAGAGTTGAGAAAAATGATCAAAAGCTAAAATGGTTATAACTATTAACCCTAGTTATAGCTTGATGAACTTCTTAATTTTTGAGCAGATTTGATGAACTTGAAATAGTAATTGTTTTGATTTGATTGGCATGTTTGGCATAATAGATAATAAATATATACTTATCTGCCATGTTCTCTACTTCTTACAGACGTCATGTGCGAATTTTTCTCCGATTTTCAAAAAATTTTTCATTTGCAAGGTATAGTTTCTCGTATCTGTATGTCAAGCTCGAATGCGCATACACGACAAGGTATTTTCGTTTTTTGACCAATGACAAGTTTTTAATTCTTAGCAGCTGAGAATAATATTTTTTAAATTAAAACTACTCTAATTCTAATTTTTATTCGCCAAGGTAACAACTATCTTCAATACATTTAGTGAATTTTAGACAATTCTTCCTATTAGTATAACTATTATATGTTTTATTTCAATATGAAATCACTGTATGAAATTATTGCCCGTTCCTTCGTATATATATCCACTAATACTGACATGAGTATTAGTATTTTATCCTATCCTTCCTTATTAATATATTGATAAATGAAGAAGAGAAACGAAATAACAAAGAAAGCAAGATCATAAAATCAAAAAGAAGAGAAGTTGCAAGGGGGGAAAAGCTGATTGGAATTAAATAAATCATTGCAAATCATTGACAATCATCGAATACAAAGTGTTTTCTTTTGACAGCAACAAAAATGCTCGTCATGTAGTCATCAAGACGGAATGAATTATGTTACTTCAATAGATAACATTCAAATAATATAACTGTAAGAGAATAATGATGATCGGTAGATAGTTAATTTTGTAACCTAGATATTTTTCCGTTCTGTTGTCTCGTATTCATTCGCTAATGTAAGACGAGATGGAACGAGAAAAATATTTGTGTCTTGTTCGTTTTTTTCATTCAATCCTATCTTTTCACACAAACTTACACATGTTGTTTATTTAATAAATTTTGCTGCTATTATAATGCCTACTTCCAAATATTCACCTGCAAATACAAAACTTCTACCTTTAAATATTATGGATCTTCGAGATGAAGCATTTTAGGATTTTATTCGACAATTTTCTGAAAAAAAGGTAGCAGAACTATTTGCATTTCAAGAATGCAATGGAGTTGACTCATTTCTTGGATGTGAAGATGTTACTGCTGTACTTCAATTGAAATCTAATCAACTAGATAAATTGAAGAAAAACACGTGCATTAGATTAAGTGATGGATCTGTTGTTCTTCTTCCAGGTATTGAATCATCAATCATTAATCTTTAAAAAATCCTTACAAAGAAATGAGAAGAAATCAACAAGCAAGATAAACGACTGTTATGGTTCGTAGGTCGTATGAATCATACAGGACAATGCAGCGAGTTGGAACGACCACAGAACGAAGAAAAAGATACTCTTCACGGGACTCGAACCATGTATCTTCTGCTATCCGGGCAGATGTCCTAAGCCAGTTAGACTAGAAGAGACACTTAATCTTCGTCTTATGTACAGAAGGGAACACTCTGGACATAGCAACGACTTCAATCGATTAATTCTTCAACCTAGTCAACTTCGAGCACGATATTGATCATTCCACCACCAATAGCTTAGAGATGCGCAAATACGAATATAACTTGTATTTCCCGAAACAACGAACTACTTGCACAAAAATGTACCCCCTGTATCGGCATGTATCGGGTCCATGTATTCGTATAATACGATGTGTGTCCTCCGAAAACCTAGAATTCTAGAATTCATGTATCGGTATAGTACCATGCATAACCCTCGAAAACCTAGAATTCTAGAACTCTAAGTTTTTGGGGGATATACATGGTATTATACCGATATATGGACCGGATACAAGCCGATACATGAATTCTAGAATTCTAGATTTTTGGGGGATATACATGGTATTGTACCGATATATGGATCCGATACATGTCGATACAAGGCGATACATTTTTGTGCTAGTAGTTCTTCGTCGTTTCGAGAAATACAAATCGTATCTGTATTTACGCAGCCTTCGTTTTTCGATATAAAAGAGTATAAACAATCATTGCAAACCATTGCAAATCACTGACAATCACTGACAATCATTGCAAATCATTGGCAATCAAAACAATCAAAAATTCAGCTTTTTACCCCTTGGCACCAATTCTTTTTTGAATAACTTGCAAGTACGACTTGCTAGCGATCGAAGAGTCTCACCATTCGAAAGTTCCAGCTGAAACAAGAGACATGTACATTGGTTGAAGCTTCCTAGATTTTTCCGAGATTCTCTACGAAGCCACCTTCTTAGTTGGGAAGATTTCATCAGATTTTCAATCCAAATATGATTATTCGATATAGGAATAATTAAGCTTTATTGATTTGCAATCGATGGACTACTTCGTTCATGGGTTATAACCATATTTCTGTGAGCCCTGAAATCGACCAGTTGACCTCCGACAATTCTAAAGCGATTCGAGATAGGGTCTTTTCGCTAAGCTAAGTCGAGTGGTGATGTTTACTTTCATTCTTAAAGCGCTCAAAAGGCATCCGATTAAGATTTTGAATTTCCATCTTTGGACATTTTTAAAAACTTGATTTGACCGCTTCAGAAAGTTTTGGAAATGCAAACAAGCATTACGCACCACTCGACTCAGCATAGACAAAAGGTCCTATCTCGAATCATTTTAGAATCATTGGAGATCAATCGACCGATTTGAGGGCTCTTCGAATAACGCTTACAGCTTATCAACGGAGCAAGCAATCGAGCGCAGATCAACAGAGCTTGATTATTCCTTGCAAATGATCGCATTTGGGTTGAAAATATGATGAAGTCTTCCAAAATAGGCAGATAGTTTTCGCAAAAACCCTCTGATAAATCTAAAGGGTTCCAACAAAAGTAAATGCTTCTTGCCCTGATTTGGATTTTCGAATGGTGAAACCCAAGGGAGAAACAGCTGAATCATGACTCTAGTAGAATTGCAAAGCTCGAGAATTTTCAGAAATGTCGGAGAATTCGTCTTTTACGTTCCGCAGTGTAAAATGATTTTCGTACAGTACAAAATGTTGGGCAACAGCTTCGCTAATTCACATTAGTGTTTCTCACCCTTAGGTTTTCAATCCATGTTCTTATTGCGAAATTAAAAAGCGACTAATTTGAAATATGCTGCACCACCGCACTAATAGTATCATTTAAATAGCGGAAAACTTTCATCAGCTCTTGTCTTATTTCGTATTTGAAACGACCAACTGTCCGTACGTAGACCTTTGCTTTCATTTTTACAAAACAAACAGCTAATTTTCAAGAACAATTGATGACTCATCTGCTGTAAAATAAAGTATGTCTAAGCGCTGAAAATAAAAACACTACAGTGAAGTTACCAAGGAAAAAAAGCGGATTTTCAGAACTTCTAGGCATGCAGATATGTAGGAAAATCCGGAGTACTTCTGAGAAGCCAGAGAAGCAAGCGAAGTTCACGGAAATCCAACAAAACTTGAAAATTGTTGTTTCCATATTTAATGAGCTCAAAATTAAACTAATGCCAAAGTCCGTTTCCCGCCCCCCACCCCCTTGTAAATTACTGAATGATCATTTACACAAACAATTTTATGAACTGCGAAGATGGATAGAGTCTGGTATACCGTATCATCACAAGCTGAGACAACCTGAGAGTGAACGCCAATCGACTATCGAGTGAAGAATTATTTTCGAGCAGAATGTGGCGAACAAAATAAATATACTATCCTAATAAGATCTGAATGAGTATCCATGGCAGAAAGAACATCTCAACTGTCAACAGGATTGACACTAGGGTATCTTGGCCAAAAGTGATTTTGTACGGGATGACCGGCCTCATGAGTTCATTGCGTCACTTTCTTTTTCTCCCTCTGTTATCTCTTGTTTCAGAATCTTCTGTTACTCACATCACTTCATTGTGTAACTTTACCCCTTACTGATTGTTTATTTTTCTGCGTGATACTTTTATCGCTCTCTTTGTACGTACCTTTCTTTCTTTTTTCGAACCCATATCTTTGTTTTTTCTTATCTCATCCGTTTTCTTATTTAAAGCCTCTTTACCTTTTTGATCACTCTTCATTTTCTAACGATATTTATATCTCTAAAGTCTTTAAGAGCATTTTATCCTTAAAAGAATCTTTTTCTTTAGTGTTATCATCTGGAGAAATTATTAACATGAAATTATTAATCCTTATATGCATCTTGGTTGGATTATTTCACAGTAGTACAGGCACACGTTGTGTTTGTAAATGTTGTACGACTGATGGTTGTGATTCTTCCACGGCTACACCACAATCATTTGATTTAGCTGGTGTCTGTAGTGCTCTAACATGCAATCGTCTGTCATGTTCAACTCAGTTTAAAACTTGTCCAATACCAACATCTGCTGGGCATGTTGATACAAAATGTGGTGGGCCAGGCATGGCTTCTGCAACAACTCACATTTCAGTTATGACCTTGAGTGCAGTTTTAATTGGAACATTTATGAAATGGAATGTATATTAGTGACACTTAAAAAGCTTAATTTTTGGGATCAACAGTTTTAAAATTCTTGTTATTAAGGAAATTTTTCATTTTTATTACAAAATAAAGTTAGAAGTAAACGATCCTTCGTTGCTTCGAGAAAAATATACAATTTAGTCATCGGCAGGTAGAGACTCGCGCATAGTCTTACAAATACAGGAGCGAGCGATTAACTCTTTCATGGTTTAATCTTTTGGTGAATCTCAGGCACAGACATGAAAAGCCTTGATTGAAATGACACTGGTAGTAATATGAGCATTCATGTTTTTAAAGATACGAATTTCTACCTCAAACTTTTCACCCATTGATAATTACACAAGTCGATGAGTCCAGCGTAGTGAGGATGTGTGGGTGTGGTGTGAGTGTGGGTGTGTGGATGTGGGTGTGAGTGTGGGTGTGGGTGTGGAGTGTGGGTTAAGATAAGATGAAGCCGTACCCACACACCACCACTCCCACATACACCCGCACCCACACCCACATACACCCACCCACACCCACACCCTATTATATTTCTATAATTACGATATAACTAAGATCTGTCACTGGTAATAATGTAGAATAGACGATGAAAATTAATCTTTACAAATCAACTCAGTAAATAAGAACTCAATATAATATAAAACTATTCTTCTTCTTCATCTATTCAGGTGAAAATATATTCATTGAAAATAGAACTTAAAAAAACAGGCTGACCTATCTATGTTGAAAAAGAGATATAGTCAATCTGCTCTTCTCAACTCTTGCTTTTCAGCAATCGATTGTTTTGTCGAAGTTAAATGAATGTGTTAAAATAATAAGTTATTGTGCTTTGTATAAAAAATCATTAAATAAATGCAGAGTTTAATTTGCCGACGCGTTTCGTGTTATTTATTGGTATAATGAAAACACTCATCAGAGCTCTGCACTGTATTACAATTTTAAAGCACAAGGAAAAAAAGAGAAATTGCAAAAATGGAAATTAAAGCAGATTAATAAGAAAAGATTTTACGAACATTAAAAAAATTTTTTTTGATACAAAAAAGGAAGAAAAAGAAACAGAAAATCATACTAGCACAGTGGAATACAAAACTTCCTGTTTACATTTCAAAGAAGAAATGAGAAAAACAAAAATCACACTAGTAAAGTGGAATAAGAAGTACAACCATAAAAATTGCTTTTCTTAAATAGTTGAAGGATCATTTCAGCGGGTCCAATTTTATCAGAAGCTTGCGTAGCAATTGGAATCTAAAAAATAAAATGACCACATTCATTAAGATTCTTTCACCTTGTAAAATCCATTAGCATATGGATCAGGTAATTTAATTTATTTATTGTGTACTAGCTGTCGTTGTAAGTTTTGAACATTACGTGTACCAAGAATTGGTCTAATTTCGTTAATAGGAGATTCGATAAAATATTTATTTTAAAGGATATGAAATTTTGTTTGGAATGTTTTCATATTTAAACAGTATGTAAAATGAACAAACATTGACTTCCCATAATCAATTGGAATTTTTTCTTCTATTCGAGTAGAAATCATTTTTTCACGTAGTGTGCCATAATTTTTAGATGTTAACACTTGATTGATATTATTTTGATGTAATACACGACTGAATTGTTTTTCTATAAAACCACCTGGATATTTGTTTAATAATGAAGTCATTCGTAACTTTTCACGTTCATTTAAATATGCTTCAAATGTCGAACAATATCTAATAGCTCGAAGAAACATAGCAAATGGAATATTCTTTTTCATATGCATAGGGTGAACGCTATTAAACGGCAAATAATATGGTTCGTAAGATGGTTTATGATACACTTTTGTAAATAGATGTCCATTGATATTCTCTATATATAAATCGAGAAAAGGACGGGGGCGCATAAGATACCGTTTTGGCCCATTTTGATTTTCCTATGAACTGATATTGAATTATATACCATAAGAAAGAGCTTCTCAAGACGAACATTTTAATGCCAAATTCATGAGGTTTTCATAGACTTTTCATGACAAAACGCTTTAAATAAACTACCACATTTTGGTCATAAATTTAGTAATTTTTTTGATAGTTCATGAGATATTTTAACTTCAAAATGGAAATGACCAAAGTTTTGGCTATATACGTTTGAAAGCCCTTTTAAAATGCTACAAATTCGTTAACTACCCATTAAAAAAAAAGTATGGCCCGTGGTAGGAACAATCCTCACAACAGTTCTGATATANTATCACCCTGTCTATTTACTTATTTTCTTGCATTCATAGATTGAAATAAAATTGAATACAATGAATATACTCCGAATCGACTAGCCCAAAAAATTTGCATTTTTTTCGCTACTTAAATTTAAGACACTGTATTAATACATAATATCATAGAGAATTTCAAGTACTATCAGAATGTGTGATTTCTTTTGTAAAAACTTACTCCCATAGGAATAGTAATTGGAGAAAAAACTAACAAAGTAGCGAAAAAATGCAGCCTTTTAATATTTGTCAATTGAGGATATGTTCATTGAATTTGTTTATTTTCTTGTATATTCAATGATCTAATCCAAATAAAATATATGAAATAAAAGTACATGTTAAGCTGTATTATATGTGTAAGTTTGAGTTCAATTTGTATTCATTATCATCAATAATTAGATTTAAAAAAATCTGCCACAACTTATGGGACATCCTGTATCTTTAGATTTTCTTTAATATTTAACAATAAGTAGAATAAATCTAACGTACCTAAACCATGTGAGATACCATGAGCAATGCCTTGAAGTGTACCAGAAAGACCAGATGGTGCTATAATAAACAATAAAATAACCGAAATATTATTTAATATTTTAAATCTACCAATTGAATCAGCTTTTTGTGCAATTAAAACATAGAGAATACCAAAATTAAAAAAATGCATTGTTTCCATCAATATAAAAAAATAAGGTTGTTGTATAAAATAATATCCACCAAATCGAATAGAAAATGCTAAAAAGATAATTATTGATGATAAATTTGTACCAAAGAACTTAAGCATTCGTCTAGCAATATAAAGAGCAAAAACTTCAGATAATGCTGCTACTAATGACATCCAACCAATAATAGAACGTGATTGACATGGTGCTATTTCATCAATATATAAATAAACAAACTATATAGTATAAAAGAAAAATCAAACAAATAATTTGTTAAATAAAAATTATTATTGAAATTTTCAAACTTACAGGATACATACAACCATAACACATTCCCCAAACTAATGTAATCGAAAGAAATATAAATATATCAAAATCTCTAAGTAATGAAATAAGTGCTAATAAATTAAATGTTCGTTTATTTCTTTTCATTGAATCTTCATTCTTTTTTAAAGAAATAAAACTTGTAACAATAATCGTAAGAATAGCTATTATTATAAACATACAAATATAGACATATTCACTTTTAAATACACTATAAAGACGACTACTAAAAAAAGCTATGGTACCAAAACCAATGGTACCCCAAACACGTTGTTTACCAATTAAATCTGAATGTATAACAACAGAAAAACCAATTGATATACCAATAGCATTTGCATTTGAAAGAAGTGTTGAACCAATAATATATATAAGTGAATAAAGAAGAACATAAATGACTTGTTGTTGATATCGTACACCATGACAAAAATATGGAATAGAACAAATTATTTCACATTTTGCTTGAAATAATTTATCCTCTTAGCAAATATTAATCACATATATATATTTTTTTTGTTTTTCTTATCTATAATAATTAAATTTTAACTAACCTCTTAAAGTTTTAATAAATATTTCATCAATTGGTACTTGATAATCAATTTCACATATAGAATTATCATGATCTTTGAAATGTTTTTCTATTGCATTTGAATTCATAGTAAATGTTGAATTAAATGTTAAATTTTCATTTTTACAACATGCTTGATATGAACATCCACATTCAGATCTTGTTGCACATTTTGTTGCTACTTCTTGACTAGCACAAAAATTTAATACATAACCATATTGATTATCATAATATATATTAGCTTGTATATGATGAGATTTAATACTTGGTAAGGAAAACATAATTAAAAATAAAAGAATAATAAGACTTAAAATAATATTAAATGTTAAAATAAAACGACGTGAATGATCAGCAATAAAACCTATTAAAGGACTTGTAAGAAAGATTAAAAATGGAAGAATTATATTTGAATAAGAAATTTCTGTATTTGAAAGACCATGTGCACGAAGTGTTAAATTTAAAATTGGAATTATTGCACCATAAGCAGAATAGAAAAGAAAATAATGTATTTTAAGTAGAAGATAATAACGATTAATAAATGATAAGAAATCCATTATTTTCGTTAAACTAAAATGAACTTTCTTTTTATATACTTATATCAAATGATCAATTTAACTTAACTTTTTGCTTTGTATAAGTCGTTTTTATTCTTTTTTTGTTGATTGTAACAAGTCAGATAAATAAATGATTTATCATTCGAACTTTTTTTCTAGGCTAAATAGAATTGATAAACAAATTACAGCACGAATATATTAGTCGATAATACGTGTCGGAATGTTTTGATTGTTCGACATAAATATGATGAGAAGAGGTTAGAAACTGACGAGTATTTTTCTTTTTTCCATTGTACAAATCATTGTTACACGTTGTGAGAACATTTTTGAAGACTAAAAATTATTTTACATAATTTAGTATTAAAGGGAACTTCCCCACTTAAAAATTTGACTTCGACTAGGTACATGAGATATTGATGAAACTTTGCATAGACGTTCGGCTAATAGAAATAGATTAATGAAAACAATATCATGCCTTTCTACCTTATAGTTCTAGAGATCAAGCTGCAAAGTTCGGGTTGTTTCTATTTAAAAGATAACTCGTTATCATTTTGGATAAGAGAAAGAGCTTCGTTAATTTTTCTGATTATGGAAATTTCAAAAAACCTGGAGTTACTAGGCATGATTTTCTAGAAAACTTAGGATTTATTTAGCATTAAAGATTAATTTGAAAATTCCTTTTCTTCACCTGAAGGACTATGTATATATTATCTATCGATTAGAAAAACACAACAACTCTTTAAAAAATCTGCCCACAGTTCGATCATTGCCGAAAAATTTCATTTTGAGAACAACGCATAAAAGGTTTTTGTTATATAATTTTCCTTCTATAATTTAAAATGAAAGTGAATCATAAATATTTTACATATCAATCGAAGTACTTGTGTTTATATGTTAGATTATCCTTGTATGAGATACACTACAATAGATGATGCTAATTACCCTTGTCTTTATATTTTTTTATGTCATATAACAACATAATAATGACAAAAGAATAAAAAAATGAATTGTTTTTAAATCGCTTTTTGTCTTACAATTTTTTTAAAGACTGATAGTAATGGTTACTTTTTCTTAGTAACTCATAAGAAAAATGGTATTTTATTTTATATACAACACGCACACGACTCTTCAAATATTGTCATTTGCTACAGAATCAAAAAACATTTGATATTTGATGCATAGAAATCTGCTGCTGAGGGCAACATGATAAAATCCATAATTTTGCAAATGCTTATATATAAAAAATTGACTATTCGATATTTACACCGATAATTTATATATTTATTTTTAATTGATCAAAAACTTATTTTTTTCCATTTAATAATCAAAATTGAATAAGATATACAATTTATATAGTCTTATAAACAAACATGATCGATGTTTTACTAAAGATCCTTGTCAATCAAAGTAAATAATCGATACTTGTTCAAAGAAAAACTAAACTTTTTTTTTTATTGACAAAGATTATTATCTTAGTTGAATAACATGATGATTAATAACAAGTGAATAATTTTCTATATTCATTATTAAATCATATGATATGGTTTATTGTTAACATATTCTGATTGTTCATACATTGATGTATTCATATGTTCAGGTTCTCGTAACATTGTTTTATAATGTCGTCGAAAATGTCGACGAATCATTAATTTTTGTATTGTCCATGGTAATTGTTCATGTGTTTTACATTGTTCAACAACAGTTTTCCATCGTTCAATAATTTGTTGATCTAATGATGAACGACGTCTAACACGAACTCGATTTTCCATTGATGATAAATCAGGTATAATTATTGATTGTGAATCAGAATTTATACGATTATTTGAAGTTGATGATGATAATAAACTTTCATTAATAATTAGACGATTTTGATTTATAACAGCTAATTGTTTTTCGATATTTCTTATACGATGTGTTTCATCACGTAATAATTTATCATTATTATTATTATTATCTGTTGTACCTAGATAAATATCCCAAAGTTTATCACGTTTTTGTTTATCAACAAGTTCTTCTAAAAAAATAAAAATGAATAATATAAAAATTTATAAAATCTTGATATAATGTGTTTTGGTTTTTTTTTTTTTTTTAAATGAAAATATATTACNTTGTACCTCATGATATATAAATTATTTCGTTTTGAAGCAGAACCTATTCGAATCTCGAAAAAAAGATATTTGCTTAACTTTTGTCCTCATATAAGATTTTCATGAAACTAATTTCAACCAGTAACGTCAATATCAAGATAACTATTATTCGTCGTAGGAAAATGTTCGATACGTTCCTTTTTCTGAATCTATACAAGAGACAAGTAGTGACTGTCAGAAAGTCCTCTTTCATTGGACTTCGCCTATTGACAAGTGTATTCGACTAGTATGGGATTGCATGTGTGCACCAGCAAAAACAAAACCCACATCTACACCTTAATTTTTGGGTGTAGAGAAGTTTTTTTTTAAGATCAATAAGGATTATGCTTGCGGACAGAATAAATCGACTTGCTTGATGAAAATTGGGTTGTTTTATGTATATGCTCTTCAAGCTTTTCTCTTTCACATAGAAATTTGAATTGTCATTCAATTGTCACAATTATTATTTTCTCTATGATGGTTATCTTTGAAAGAACTGTTATTGAGATTTTTTGGTGATATAGAATTGTTATTATCTTCTTCTTCTCTTGAATGTTTTCGGTTTTTCACCGATGTAGGTGATCTGCTAGGATTTTTTTCCCTTTTCAATTGTTCAAGTGATCAAGGAAGTAACTCTGTTAACTTAACATTGATATGTTCCGACGTTATAATTAGTAATTAATTTATTTTTACTAAAACGTACCACTAATCATTATTTTATTTTTAACTTAATGTCGTCTCATGTTGCACAATGCGAAATGTCCACGCGAGCTAGTGTTTGGTAATGACACTTTCTCTCAGAAATGAAAAATAAAATCATAATAGGGATTCCGAAAGTCTTACAGAAACGCCAAAATCGAGGCAAGTCGTTCGAACAAAACACACCCACACCCTACTTAGTAGTAAATTCTCCCCTAAAAGTGCTGATCCGACCCACTTTATGGCTGCTGATCTTGTTGATTATCGAAGTCTCTTGTGACTGAATAACGGCTAGTGTTAATTTTGACAATGTTCTGTTGTACAACAATATGTGAATTATTTTGTGTCGCATTACAAACATGTCACTTATCGAATCGAACTCAATATTGGCACATGGACCATTGTATACAAGCAAAACAAGTAAATCATAATTAAACACATTGTAACCATGCTTGATAAACAACATATTTTATTCAGATGAGTGAAAAAGCTGCAAATTTCACCTTATCAAACTAATCTATACACAATTCTACTAGATTTCTCTGATTAAAAAGTAACTACCACAAGCATCATAATTTTATTATTATTATAATATAGTATAATGTAACTTCATGATTGAAATACCCATCTGTTTACTGTATTATATTGTCCTTCAAGAACTATTTTATAGAAGTCTGATGGATGTTCTTTTATATCAACGGTAATCATGTTTGTGTCTATAGGTACTGTTTTAACTAAATAGTAATTATCTGTCATACCATTCTTAAATGAATTTGTAGTTGATAGCCACACTTTTACATTTCCAGTAGGATCTAAAACTGTCCAACCAATTTGTAAAATAACACCATACAACCTAACATCCGGCTTTATTAATGATACTTTTCCTGTTAATGGTACTCCATCTAATTCTCTTTCTAATTCAATCGGAATTTTGAGATTTATCAATTTTGCAATTGTTGGATATATATCAACTATGGCAGGTTGAAAATCACGAAAATAAGTATTCATTTCTCGACTATTTGTTATTATCCAAGTTGTTCGTTCTCTGTCAGTCTGATTATCATGTTCTTCGCCTCTTATCGGATCTCTACCGTGATCTGTCGTTATAATAATTAACCAATCTTCTTGATGATGTTTCATTCGGTAATCAATAGCTTCCCAAATTTGCCCTATTTGATGGTCAACATTATTGACTGCTTGAGTGAATTGTTCACTGTCTCCAAATTGATGTCCTACGTCATCCGTATATTGTAAATAAACCCATGAAAGATCAGGTCCATATATTTTGATACATGCTGAAGTTTCATTAGTCACATGTTGATCGATGTCAAAAATAAAATGGTCATCTGGATCATGAGGATAAGTAATCTGATCATGTTCGTATCCATCAAATTTATAATCAAATATAATATTACCTGCTATGGCTAATCCTTCACCGATGAGTTTAATACGATTATCTGTCCAAGTTGAGAATATAGCAATCGTTTTATCAGAATAATGTTCTTTAAAGAGTCGAAAAATATTTTTATAATGGTAATTGGGAGATTGAAGATCATTATCGTATACATTGTGTTTATTAGCCCATGTACCAGTGAGCAGATTCATATAACCAGGTGCTGATACAGGAGGCGTTTCCGTATAAGTACCATTGTCACCTCCAACATAAGCTCTCGTATAGCTTCCAATTTCTTGAATCTTCTTCATATTTGGAATTGAAATATTTTCGATAACATCTGCAGGAATACCATCCACGATTACAAACAAAACTTTTCGGTGCGTTGATTCTTGTTTATCTGATCTTACTCCAACTCTAGCGACAATGACTATTAATGCAATCAGAGAGCCAATGAATACTGAGATCAAAATTGCTAGACCAAATATCGTATTCATTTTTCTATTCTTGAATACGGAACAGCGTTTCTCATGCATTGGAGAATCTTCTGAATAATCTTGCACTGGAGTTATTTGACTCATGATAGAGAACTTTTGTTGTCTTCAATGAATGAATCGTCTATAATCTAAAATGAAAATTGTCTCTTTTATCACAGTTGTTAAAAGTCAAAAGAAATTCAGTTGGACATAAACGAAAACGTCAGCTTAAAGAAAGCTACCGAGAAAGAGAGAGACATATAGCATACACAATTCCGACTGTAAAAACACTGATTCAATTAAAAGATCAAACAACAAACAGAAAATGATATTTGTCATGTCGGACGCGTTCTCTCGATTTTTGAGATGCTTTATGCATGTTCTTCGGTAGTGGCGAAGTGGTACACCACTTCAATTAAAACAGTACAAGGAGTTATTAAATTTCGTATTATCTCTATGAAAATTTTCACTACGCTTACGCTCTCCAGTCCTAATTACAAAATGAAAACTCAACCTATAACTTAATTGATCACCAGCAAATCGTTACAAGGCGAATCATTGAACTATTTTCCGTATAATTTATTTTCGTCATGTTTAATACTATTATAATATCGTTTGTTGTTCCCATCGTCGAACTTGCAGCAGTAGATCAAACAACAATCTGCATCATTTTCCCGAAAACGTATCATTTACAAGGTCTGTAATATGATAACCAGTTTTTTTTGTAGCATTATCTTACTGATGTATTAGTTACAATTGAAGCACATATAATCTATTATCAAGCATGATACTCAACTCGACGCTGCTGTTTATAACATTTTATTACCAGTGTATATAAAAATTACGATCATAAATAATCGTTAAGTATCTTTTCATATGCTTGATAGATTAAGATATCAAACATTGATGCATAGTTGTCGTAAATTATTATTAAGTATCTTATACAACGATTATAGGCAGTAGGTATGCATAACAGTTCTCAATGCTTGATATTTTTGACATTTAGCAAAACTTAAATTATCAAATCTTTTTTTTTTTTTAGTGAATGAAAATAGCGAAAAGAACCTAACAAATATGTATTACAGCAGAAGCCATTTCAGAAGCGTGAATTCCAGCAAAAATATAATCAAGACAAAAGTATAAGAGCTAAAATAAAATAAAAATTTGAATGTGGATCGAGCATTAATGACGTGTTTCGACCTTTCTTAAGGATCCTATCTGGTGGTTTTCACTTAATATCTGTTTAAATTAACCCCTGATAGAGCCTGTGAGATATGATCGGCATGTCATCCTGACTAAATGAATCATGAGATGGATAGGATTTTGATTGATCATGTTTATTGTTGAGGATCAGAAAACTGGTAGTATGATCTTTCTGTTAACGGAAAACATTTAGATTCTTATCAAGATGAATTTTATAAATTGTTTCTTTCATGAACAGCTGAATCTTTTAAATCAGTTTTTATAATGGATCTTCACAATGGCTCGAAAGAAAAAAATGATTTTGTTATCGTCAAATTACATACCTTGTCATTGCATAATAACGAAGAGTTTTCGTTTCTACATTGAATGATTCGAAAGTTGTCATTGAGACGTAGTTGATTAGTGTTTAGATGAACCTAATTATGTAACTTATCATTTAATAAATCAAATAGATAAAAATATCTCTCAATTAAATCAATATTCTACTTTTTATTATATATAATTCATTAAATAAATGACTTAAACAATATTCATTACTTATCTATGCCAAATATCAATCTTTAATAACATTTACATATTTTTATTATTTATAGAAATATTCTAGAAAAGAAATCTTTTCAATTAACTTTCGAACTCAAAGTCTATATACCATCTATTAATAGCTACACAATTGGATATTTAAATAAAATGAATAAAAAAATTATTATTTTGAAAGAAAATATTTTATGAATAATATTATTCGATCAATCAGAAAGATTATTTATTAAGAATCGAACAATATTATTGATAAATGGAATTTTTTATGATTTTCTTATTCAAAATGAATATTTATCAATAGTCATAATAGAAATTCTTATTTCATCTCAACAACAACAAACATAGGAATCAGACAATAAGCTTTTTTTTATCTTTTAAATTACAATTATTTATTTTTGCTTGATAGTCAATATAGTTTATTATGTGTATTGTTAAAAATTAATATCAAATAAATGATGAAGATTTATTATTTTTAACACAAATTAATAATTTACGATGTTCAGTTACCATTAATAGAGTTATATCACAAACTTCGTAAATGATGATTAGAAATTGATGTTCATTGTAAATTGAATTGAAAGAGCAATATTCTATTGAAGCGGTAGAATTCTATTTCACGATAAGAAAAACTTTTAGCGCAATAAATACAAGATGAAAATGTGAAACATGATATATAGAACGGCATATACTATAAATCAGAGAATTCTTCAACATTTGGTTCAGTTATGTCCATGATGGCATGTTGTTAATCATAATATGTTACAAGAAAATTGAAATAAAGGCTAAACGACACGCATATTAAATTTAATCGTTTTTCATAATAATTCTACAATCGAGTTCGGTGTCGTTATTATATCGACGGCGGGCCATGAAGGAAAGTAAAAGTTGTACTGCTAAGGTGTCTGTGATGTAATGATGTAACCACAAAAACTATTGATGGGGCCTTAAGCTTTCACCTGATAATATCTATCCAATGGATTAAGTCATCTCTAGCTTCCACCTGGTTAAGCCACAATTGAGATGATATCTTAGTCATGTTTGTCACAGTGTGTGGTGAAGAAGATCATAATTTCTATTCTCAATACTTCAACACTGCCATTAGATCTTGTTTTATAAAATAGACTCTAAACGTTGTTGATAAAGACCAAAAAGCAGTATATCTTAGAATTGAAGGAACTTTTCTCAATTACGTTCTAAATTTTTGACATTATACACTACGAAATTAACATAGTTTACACAAAATTGATGGTTAGTAGAGGTGAATATCGTATTGATTATTTATCGGAATCTTAAGTATAAAAAGAAATCGGTTCAATTAAATCTTACAATTAAATATTTCAAAGAAGGATAGTAATAAATGATCGTAAATACATTTCGTTGATAAAAGTACATACATACTTAATATTATGTTGTGAAGATTCATAGCAACAACGGTGGCAATACTAAACTAAGTAAATCTTTAACAAAAGCAATTCTTATTGAAGAGATCATTTACTACTAGAATTGAGATTAGTTCATAAGTTTTATTATATTGGTTAGAGTGTGGGTATGAATGAGAATTGGTGAGTGCGGTTGAAAAGAAGACCCACACCCAACATCTACACTCAAATCGATCCAATATTTGATTGACTATAATTCAGTCCATCGATTCGATTCTGCAACGAATAACTGACTAACAAAGTTAACGAAATTAGTGGCATCGGCGACAGAAAACTTGATATTAGCCTTTTTGTATTCAGTTTCAAAAATATACATATGATAAAAATGATTATATATATAAATGTGTCAAAGGGATATCACGTTACATCTTGTCCAACTCTTTTATGTCAAAACAAAACACAACACATTTACTCTCAAAACGAATTCCATTCTCTATTGTTAAGATGCTATAAATATCTGGAAAAATATGACGAAAATAATTCGAATGAATAATTTCATTGTATTCAGATTTTGTCATAGTACAGCGAAAAATTGATTACTAAGAGCAGTATTGTTAAATTTAGCTTCATAGGGAGCTATGTCTTTAGACAATTGAGATCGATCGTCCAATCATTACTGTCAACGCAATTTTTACAAACAAATAAGCCATCCGAATAGGCTATTTTGTGATCAATTTCAACTGATTATACATAACTTGGGAAGCAAAAAATTTCTGTTGCCAATTCACTGCATTTAGATTAGCCTCATTAGTGTAGCTAAGTATTCTTGATCAGCCTCGAATGTTAGGTCTACCAAACCCTGAGAATAAACCATATGAAGAAGAGCAGTACGCTATCCTGGATTGATACTATTATTTGTGTTGGATGTGTTTGATATTTGTCTACCGGTTACTAAATTTCCAAGAAGATTCGATCCAGCCATAGATTGACTTTTTGCTTGAACAAAGATTTCTGCAACTTCATCTGGTTCATTAAGAATAATACTTTCGGGAATAAGTCGTGAGCTCAATAGAACAATGAAGCCACTCAGATTAATCGGCTCCAATACAACACCAAAGTAGTGGTAAAATGATGGGACAATCGATAGGTTAGTGTCTCCAAAATCTATATCACTGTTGTTAGTTTCGAATTGACTTATTATAGTCTTGGCTGCATCTAAGTCACCATTCGGTATGTAAAATGCAGCACTTAGTGTCATATCCGCAATACTGAAATAACCAGACCGACCAACATCGGCTACTGTTAGTAACAATCGAATAAAACTTCTTATCAATCTTGCGGTGTGGGTGTGTTGTTGTGGATGTAGCAGAAGTTCCTTCCATTATCCATCACACCCACACCTCAACTGGGAAAGTACTAGCATAGTAGGAAAGAAATAAGTGTAAGATGGGTCCAGTTGGACTCCTAAACAGTCGTCAAGAGCTAATCATCGGTGGATTCATATTCGTATACGTGGAAGTATGTCATGATCTCTGTAAATACTACATTTAGAGAGCAAATGGTCATGTAGTCACGTGATAAATTCATCCTTGACCGATAATGATGATGAACGGGAATTCTCTCCCTTGGCTCTGTGACATCGACAAGTCAATGCACGAAGATAAACCATATTTTTGACAAGATAGATAATATTCATTAGATTTTCCACATCAACAGATAAAATTTCACATTGACGACCCAGTAATGAATTAGCCAATATTGTTAATTGTGTATCATTGAGATATTCATCATGTTCATCTGAATGTGATGTTAGAATAAGACGACGAATTGATGGACAAATGAAATTCAAATCTATCAATTGCGAAACTTCACAACCGTCAATACCCAACGAATACAGATGCGGTGTTCGATCGAACAAAGCTTGTAGATCAGATAACGTAGTACTATCGTCACCCAATGACACATGTAGAGATCTTAAATGATTCATTTTGGTTACGATAGAACAGAGATTTTCACTGGCAGGCATGTGTATTTCTAGTGATTCAAGGTTGGAAAAGTGAATAAGAAGTGATGGACGGTAATCCGATGTGATTTTGGACCGAATTTGACGCACACAATTATACGAAAGATATTCCTCATCATTCGGACACGTGAATTTGAAATGATGCACTTGCTGTTGAAAAAAATAATCCTCGGAACTATACGGTAAACTATAAAGAACGATGTTATCGGACGAAGAATTCCATTGACATCGAACAAACCAGCGATGTTCATCGAGCCAAAACGGTGTTCGAAATGTATTCAATAGATTATCAATAAACTCGTCCTTATTCGTATCATTTGAACCTGTGGAATACATTCGAAATGGAAAACTTTCTATCTTGGGAGAATAATTCACAATGTTTTCTTTCCATTGATCTCCATCCAAGTAAAAATTTCAGATTTCGACAGTTAACTAACGTAAATCGGGCACGTTTGGTAAAATATACATTATTATCGATGACGGTGAACAACGGATACAAATATTCAATGATCTGAGCGATAGAAGTGCATTTAGGCGTTTTTCAGGTTTCACATCGAACAAAACGGTCATGTCCAGATGTCGCACACAAGGTGTATGTTCGAATAGATCGATGAGATTATTTGGAGAAAAGGCGCAGTCTTTCATAGATAAGTATTGAATGGATGAAGATATGACAGAGAGTTTTGTGAAGATCGAACTACATAGATCAGTTTCATTGAGATCACAATACATCAGTTTTGGTAGACACCATATGTTTGTGATAAAACAAATCAAATCATCTGTCATTTCAACGGAACATTTGTTCAGTTTCAGATGAGTGAGATGAGAACAAGACAGAGGTTTTGTCAATAGTGCATTAACTGTTCGAATGGATCCAATTCTAACGAGTGAAAGTGATCGCAAATGAATGAATCGTTCAAACATAAAGCGATAAGAAAGAAAATAATAAACTATATTTGAAGTTTCATCATCGTCTGAGAGATAAAGCAAAGTGACACGATCGATAATACATGGTAGATGTTGTTTGCATATCCAATGGAAGTCACGTTTGGATATCGAGCGAACATCGAGATGATAATTTTGGTAATGAACCAAGAGTAATGTGTCGAAGTGAGTATTCATATGATGAAAAGCCCGAAAGAGATGAACGGCATCGAGAAACCCGAATAGATCGAGTAAGAGTTCGTTGGGTAACGACTCGAACTTCATGTATTTTGTCTTTCTTGTCGAAACGACGTTGAATGTTTTTCAATAGAAAAAAAAGAGAAGAGCACTCGAGTTTTCTTTGAATTTTAAATGATGCAAAATTACAAAGAATAAACACACAAAAGCATGGCGTTTTTTTAAAACTGATCAGTCTCACGAATACTTTTATTGGTTCATTTTTACATTTCGTATGATATGCTCATCAAGGCTGCATATAACGTTTTGAATGCCTTAAAAAAGATTATTTTTTCCATGCGTTTCGTTGGTGTATCAAGCTGATATGAGTAGCATATATAGTGCCGGACAAAAATTTAAGTGAAATTGATTTTTCAATATTTTTTTCTCAAATTTTTTTTCCGTAGTTTTTTTTTCATATTATTAGGTACAGGTTTAATTCAAATGATTATACAGATAGTATGAGAGTTTAGCTACATCACCTATTAAAGAACGACACTCTATCTCTTTATATAAATCTTTTATAATTAAAATAATTTCGTTTTATGCAAAAGCAGATTTCGGCGTCTTTCAGTATTTCGCATTTCCTAGCCAAGATACTTGTGCTAAAATAAAACAAAATTGTATCAATCGATAGAGCATTTCACGCTCTACCAGATTATAAAAAAAGATTTTCTTCCTAGAATTGATCTTCACTTTTAAAACTTGACTTTAATGAGAATAACCGAGGGTGTGGGTGTGAGTGTGAGTGTGGATGACCATTCATTGAACCCACACCCACACCCCATACTGCGCTTAGCATTGCATCTCATCACGGATATCATGAAATTGTTCGATTGCTTCTCGAACATGGTGATTTAATGACAAAACGAAATCAAGATGGCTTAACACCATTTAGTCAAGCAAAAGACGAAAAAACGAAAGAAATATTTGCTCG